TTTTTTTTTTTTTTTTTTTTTTTTTTTTGTGTAGAAGGCTCCAGTAATGCATGTGTCACGCCCATATTAATTTCACGAAAGCTTCTCCATTCTCCCCTCGATTCTTTTTGTAAAACAATTTTGGATCTGCCAATATTATACAACTATTCACTTTCAACACATATGCCTCATAGTAAATAGTCCATTCAACATATGAGATAAGTGGCCAGATACCCTATCTATTCCACACCCTGACACTTAGAGTTTATTGGGGGCCAACTACTATTACCAACATGCCTCTGACGATACTGGCAACCACAGTGAGAGTGTACGTCATCAGTTTCCAGCGATAGTTGAAATTCAGGGTGTTTCAACATTGTGAAATAGCTCCAAACAGAAAATGATTTTTGAGGAAACACGATTCTAAGATCTTCACAGCAAATGAATATTTTCAAGGACTGTGATTTGGGCAATGTATGCGCTTATCGTGTGTATGTCATTGGCAGGATTCGAACCTGTCTCTCTTTCCCTTTGTCCTCACCGTGTTCGCCCCATGATAACCCACTGTCACGGGGGTTTTATCACGTGTCCTTTCAAATCACAAATTCACAGGCAGGACACAAATGGTAACACGCCCAGAAAACCGCTCAAAATGGCTTCCTGCAACTCTGTCACTACTGCAGGCGTTGTGTTAGTGCCGTACCTGCTACTACTTTGTTTTAGCGGCGGCGCTACGTTAAAGTGTACGAAGACGGGACCGTGCAGTTGTTCCAGTAGTGAAGGCGACATTGATCTTTCGCCGTTGGCTAACTCGGACGGATCACCCAGGTGAGTGCTAGTTACCTAGCTAGGAGGTTCGTGTTTAAAAAGTTCATAGCAAAGTATCCGTATGCGATATATGACTTAAAACATGGACCAGTGGTACCTTCTACAAGGGCGACAGATTGGTTTTTCACAGATGTTCACAGATGTGTCTCTAGATAAATATACAGTCATTTGGCTCTGTGTGGATTTTCTCCGTTTTTCCCTATATAATCTGCCACCCTGGTAGAGGGTAGACCAGTGGTAGAAGCTGATCCTATATTGGCACCGGCCTCCAAGATTGGCCATATTTCTGAACTGACTTTCGAATTTTCTCTGTGTCCTGATGTTCGGGAGTAGCCTGCTCGTTTAAATAATTTGGATTCATCGAGCCATTCTATTGATCAATGATCGATATTAGTCCAGATAAATTTACACATAATCTTGTTGATTTTTTCTGTCATTTTACTTTTATTTAATGGTGAAAAATAATTGTCTAACTCTTCTTGACAGAAAAAAAGACATAAATACAAAAGGTGGGAGGTTCCTAGAAAGCCTTTAAGAAATAATGGTGTGTACATTTTAGAATTTGTTTTACTTTGGTGAAACAAACTGGCAATTACTGTTTGAAGGAGTTGGGGGGTGGGGATGGGGGGTTGGACGGGTGTTATGGAGTATGCATTTCCCCACCATCACGACTTATCTATAACGACAATATCTATAACACGTTGACCATCTCATGTTTATCTCCCAACATTGTATACTGATACTAGCAACAACTGATAACGCTGTGTTATGAATGTATATCAGATCAAATATCTAATCATATAACGCCAGACCTTCGTGTTTCAGATTCAAGGACGTTGCGCCAACAGCCCCTGCTGATTACGCCGTCTATTCCTGGAACCCATGTACGGATTTCACAGAGCCGGTTCAATCTTCCAATGCTGTTTGCAACAACATCGCGGTAAGCTTGCTTCTATGTATCGTGGCTTTACTTCATTTCAATTTATATTGATTGTAAACATGAAAATGTACCTGAATGGAAGAAAATTGAAGATACTATGTAGTCGCTTTATTTATTAATTTTTTTTTTTACATTTTTCATAATCATTTATTATTATTATTTCTCGGCAATGCCTCATATATTTTATATACAATAACATTTTTATCAATCATTCAATCTAGACACGGAGACTAGTGTATTTTACTGCTGACGATAAAAATTGACATTTTGAACTCAGAAAAAAATATTTATAGATTGTTACTTCCTTAATTGTTTTGAGAAAGGATTTGCCTTTTAATTAAAATTCCTAATTAGGAAGTTTTTTTTTTTAATTTTGAAGAATTTATTATTTTAGTTTAATTTGCTGTACGAAGTTGTAACGCATATTGTATCCCTTTATGTAGACAATGTGCGCACACGATAAGATAAGATATGATAAAACACCGGTGTTGTCTTTACAAGCGTGTCCTTACATGTATATCCTCATTGTTATTTTTATTTTAGTTTATAAACTGTTGTTCTTGAGAAATGTGATGTATGGTGAAAAAACGTGTAAGGGTCGGGGTATGGGTCTACCCATATCACAATAAAAATGATATTCTATGCAACAGCGCACTGCACAGTCAGAATTAATAATAATAATAATAATAATAATAATAATAATAATACTAATAATCTCACCATTTAATCCTAAATATTAAAGTATTCACCTAACCGTTTCCTCCCTAGGTATGTCAAATCTATGGGTCAGGCACATCGTACACTTATGGCTACTCTCTTGGAAAGCAGGAATCTGCAACCTTCACCAATGACGACGCTGGACAGGTGGTTTTAACTTACACTGACACAGGTTCAAACAGGTAAAGTTACTGTTTTCTACCACAATAGATGCGCCACTGGTCGGAGAAATGCTCGTGAAGCACGTGTGGATGTCTCATGCAGCTTGTTGATGAGTGGTGTGTATAGCTTATTCTACAAATGATGTTGAGCACACAAGGCTTAGATGTGGTTGTTTAATTTAATTTTTAATTATTCACGCGTAGTGAGTGTACTGTATATGTGTTAATCTACTCTACGCAAGGAGGAGGTGTGTCAGTTTGTATCTGATTGCATTCAGCGATCAGAGTGCCCGTGGAGTTAGTGTGCATATAAGCTAGGTCGACATAAATCATTCTGAACGGTCCCTTAGCTTTTGGCAAGGCTTACAGATGCCAAAAACAACTTAAGACTTAAAAACGTAAATAAAACCTGAGTAGAATTGCTTGTATAACTGAACAGCCTCTCTGTTTCAGATTGCCTTCAATTCATTTTGTTTGTAAAATTANATGATAACCCACTGTCACGGGGGTTTTATCACGTGTCCTTTCAAATCACAAATTCACAGGCAGGACACAAATGGTAACACGTCCAGAAAACCGCCCAAAATGGCTTCCTGCAACTCTGTCACTACTGCAGGTTTTGTGTTAGTGCCGTACCTGCTACTGCTTTGTTTTGGCGGCGGCGCCACGTTAAAATGTACGAAGACGGGACCGTGCAGTTGTTCCAGTAGTGAAGGCGACATTGATCTTTCGCCTTTGGCTAACTCAGACGGATCACCCAGGTGAGTGCTAGCTACCTAGCTAGGAGGTTCTTGTTTAAAAAGTTCATAGCAAAGTATCCGTATGCGATATATGACTTAAAACATGGACCAGTGGTACCTTCTACAAGGGCGACAGATTGGTTTTTCACAGATATTCACAGATGTGTCTCTAGATAAATAGACACTCACTTGGCTCTGTGTGGATTTTCTCCGTTTTTCCCTATATAATCTGCCACCCTGGTAGAGTGTAGACCAGTGGTAGAGGCTGATCCCATATTGGCACCGGCCTCCAAAACTGGCCATATTTCTGAACTGACTTTGGAATTTTCTCTGTGTCCTGATATTCGGAAATAGCCTGCTCGTTTAAGTAGTTTGTATTGATCGAACCGTTCTATTGATCAATGATCGCTGTTAGTCCAGATAAATTTACACATAATCTTGTTGATTTTTTTGTCATTTTACTTTTATTTAATGGTGAAAAATAATTGTCTAACTCTTCTTGACAGAAAAAAAGACATAAATACAAAAGGTGGGAGGTTCCTAGAAAGCCTTTAAGAAATAACGGTGTGTACATTTTAGAATTTGTTTTACTTTGGTGAAACAAACTGGCAATTACTGTTTGAAGGAGTTGCGGGGTGGGGGTGGGGGGTGGACGGGTGTTATGGAGTATGCATTTCCCCACCATCACGACTTATCTATAACGACAATATCTATAACACGTTGACCATCTCATGTTTATCTCCCAACATTGTATACTGATACTAGCAACAACTGATAACGCTGTGTTATGAATGTATATCAGATCAAATATCTAATCATATAACGCCAGACTTTCGTGTTTCAGATTCAAGGACGTTGCGCCAACAGCCCCTGCTGATTACGCCGTCTATTCCTGGAACCCATGTACGGATTTCACAGAGCCGGTTCAATCTTCCAATGCTGTTTGCAACAACATCGCGGTAAGCTTGCTTCTATGTATCGTGGTTTTACTTCATTTCAATTTATATTGATTGTAAACATGAAAATGTACCTGAATGGAAGAAAATTGAAGATACTATGTAGTCGCTTTATTTATTAATTTTTTTTTTTTTTACATTTTTCATAATCATTTATTATTATTATTTCTCGGCAATGCCTCATATATTTTATATACAATAACATTTTTATCAATCATTCAATCTAGACACGGAGACTAGTGTATTTTACTGCTAACGATAAAAATTGACAAAAAGATTTATAGATTTTTACTTCCTTAGTTGTTTTGAGAAAGGATTTGCCTTTTAATTAAAATTCCTAATTAGGAAGAGTTTTTTTTAATTTTGAAGAATTTTATTTATTTACTTTTTTGGTTTAATTTGCTGTACGAAGTTGTAACGCATATTGTATCCCTTTATGTAGACAATGTGCGCACACGATAAGATAAGATATGATAAAACACCGGTGTTGTCTTTACAAGCGTGTCCTTACATGTATATCCTCATTGTTATTTTTATTTTAGTTTATAAACTGTTGTTCTTGAGAAATGTGATGTATGGTGAAAAAACGTGTAAGGGTCGGGGTATGGGTCTACCCATATCACAATAAAAATGATATTCTATGCAACAGCGCACTGCATAGTCAGAATTAATGATAATAATAATAATAATAATCTTACCATTTAATCCTGTGCATAAATATTAAAGTATTCACCTAACCGTTTCCTCCCTCAGGTATGTCAAATCTATGGGTCAGGCACATCGTACACTTATGGCTACTCTCTTGGAAAGCAGGAATCTGCAACCTTCACTAATGACGACGCTGGACAGGTGGTTTTAACTTACACTGATGCAGGTTCAAACAGGTAAAGTTACTGTTTTCTACCACAATAGCTGCGCTACTGGTTTGAGAGATGCACGTGAAGCACGTGTGGATGTCTCATGCAGCTTGTTGATGAGTGGTGTGTCTAGCTTACTCTACAAATGTTGTCGAGCATACAAGGCCGAGATGTGATTGTTTAATTTAATTTTTAATTATTCACGCGTAGTGAGTGTACTGTATATGTGTTAATCTACTCTACGCAAGGAGGAGGTGTGTCAGTTTGTATCTGATTGCATTCAGCGATCAGAGTGCCCGTGGAGTTAGTGTGCATATAAGCTAGGTCGACATAAATCATTCTGAACGGTCCCTTAGCTTTTGGTAAGGCTTACAGATGCCAAAAACAACTTAAGACTTAAAAACGTAAATAAAACCTGAGTAGAATTGCTTGTATAACTGAACAGCCTCTCTGTTTCAGATTGCCTTCAATTCATTTTGTTTGTAAAATAATATTTATTTTTTCCATAGGAATGCCAAATTCACGCTGATATGTGACAGAAACGTCGATTCAAAGCTTGACGTCATAGGCGAAGATCAAAATAATATAAATGTCCACGTGAGTTGATTTGGGGCCTAAAATGTTTATATTATTTCCATTTAATTTCATTATCATAGACGTGGCTTAAATAAGACATAATTACGTTATTGAATCAATGTGCTTTTATTTTGTTTATCTTATCAAGGGATTATTGTCATTCAAAATATTCCCTGAACATGATTTAATCTGTATTCGACGTGTCATAAGCTTTGTGTTGCGTGAAGTGAGCAATAGTACATGTATACGGCTAAGTGAACTACTACATAATTATATTGTAGAAAGTTTGATAAAAAAAAAGAAATATAAAGCAATTAGAAATAAGATAATTAAACATAAAGAGACAAAAGACGTTTTATAACTGAAACGGAAAAGGAAAAGAGAAACGTTTTGAGCATGAACATTTTTTTAATCACTGCAGACATTCAAACTTACCACCAAATACGCATGCGTAGGCAAAAGTGGGCCGTCTGGCGGCGGACTGAGCGGGGGAACCATTCTGATTATAATGTGAGAGCTTACTATTTATAATGATAATAATAATAATTATTATTATTATTATTATTATTATTATTATTATTATTATTATACTGTAAATATATTTATGAATTGAAATGGTATCCTTAAGAGTTTCCAATTCCAACCATACCCCAGTCGTGATTTGTTGGAAGAGAATATATTATTGGCAGCGGGTAAAACAGTTCTAGAAGTTCTTTTGATCAAAATTTTGGTATTTTGCAAAATTTGTGCCTTCACGTTGATTTGGCGATATGACGTTAAGAGATAGGTGGAAACTCGAACAACCGTACTCATTTATAGAAAACTGCTTATGAAGCACAAACTTTGCTCTTTTTTCTTTAATTGCAGACGCAATGATGAATGGCGTAAGGAAATAAAGAATAAGAAAATCCGTCGGGGGGGGGGGTGCAAAGTCTTTGCGCAAACACTTTTAAGTAAAAAGTACTTTCCCTATAAATTTGAAGGTTTTTTTTTTGTTGTTGTACTTTCAGATTTATCTTAGTAGCATTTCTGTATTTTTTCCTTGGCATGTTTGTAATGGTGGCGTACTACAAGGCACGTGGTACTGACATGATCCCCAATAAAAACTTTTGGATGGGATTTCCATTTCTTGTGAAGGTAATGTGGATATAATAGTAATGTGAGCATCGAACCGCACCGTGAAAAATTCAATTGAAATTCCCCTTGAGAAGTTTAGTATTATAAGACCCTGCGGGTATGCGATTTTCTTTGTTTTCCTTGTTAAGTTATGATTGGTATTTCATAGACATTTTATTGGAAACAGTAAGACCCACATTTGCTCATTGAAACAAGCTTCCTAAGAAATATTTTAACGCATTTCTTTTGTAAAAAAAAATAGTTTTCAAACGTGTAAATATTATATTTACCTTTCCCCCATGACCTCATCCCTGTATATATCGGTTTATTTATCAATCTATCTATTTTTGAGTTCATTTATTTGTTGATATATTTATTTATTTACAATTTATTAAGTCATCCATCTATTTATGTTTTCAATAATTTACTTGTAATATTCATTCTTTGTTATATCGCCAACATACACCAATTATTAAAAGCAATATTGTCGATAATTGCATGATCTTTGACATCATACTTGTAATTCTTGTTTTGCAGGACGGGTGCGTCTTCGTGTTCCGCGGGTGCAAATCCGGTGAGGGCTCATACCAAAAAGTATAACGTCAACTGCAAAAACTGAGATCCATTACACATGTGCCCAGATCTATTTTTGAATTTGCAATTTAGGTTTAACTTATTTGCTTCCGGTACATTCGCTATGGTTATTCGCTGTAATTATCTTTAGGCAGACAGTGCAAGTCCAAAAAAAAAAAAAAAA